CCTATTAAAAATGGTGATTGTCCATGGCTATGTTAAATAACCAGATGGTAATATTTTTCAGAGTGGTTAAAATCACCAACCAGATTAACCGGATCATAACTGGATTTTGGGGATGTTGGCAAATATGCCAGCACGATGGAGAGTTGGGGATTTATTTACCGGGTTGGAGCGAGCCTGAAGATAGTGAGATACTATACCGTCTCGATGTGGTTGATAATGTTTCATCCCAACGTTCAGATCATACAAGATGGCGCCTCCAAGATAGCTAAGTTGGTTTATGTCTCTAATTTTACCAAGACTTGTGGATATCTATCTTTTGCTTTTGGCGGAAAAAACGAAAACGGGCAAATATACTAACCACCAAACGACCCTCAAAATCCCAAACATTCCAAAAAAAATTCAACTTCAGAGGTCTAGGCAGCTAAATAACTAAATATTCCCAAAAGTCAGCTTCTTTCCAGCCATGTAACCCTCCAAGAGCGCTTGCCCGACGCCGAAGAGTTGATCGTGAAATTTTGTGCCGTGCGGCCCCAAAAAGAGAGAAGATCAATGGTAAAATCCTACTGGGATTTTATGGTAATTTCATGGGATTTTATGGTAGTTTATTGGTACTTAATGGTGATTATATCATATTTATGACTTTCCATTCAGTTGGGAATGTCATCATCCCAACTTACTAATGTTTTTCAGAGGGTTGAATCCACCAACCAGATAATAGTTTGAAGTGGCAACTACTTTTCTATATTGTTCTATCCATTTTGGGGGTTACTAGAAGTATATGAAACTTGTTTGTGGATCAACGCCGAAGTGTTTGCTGCAAGTTCACCGAAGGGAAAATCCTAGGTATTTGGAGCCAACTTTTTTGAGATAGAAGCCACAAGAACTTCAGAGTTTGATGAGTTGAGTCATACATATATATAATATTATATATATATATCTATATCCAATATTCATTGACATATTATGGTACATTCAATAAATTGGCTTGAAATTGAAGGTCCTGAGGCTTGGTCCATGTTGGTCCTGTTTTCTTATTGACACGTATTGACCATCTCGTTGTGGACATGGATATGGTTATCAAGAACATTCTCTACCTGATTCCACTGATTGTGTGGCATATTTATGTTGATAGGGCAATATAAATATCAGTATCTAACATCTGGTATATATATATATATGTGTATATATATATATATATTATATGAGCCACCGCAAAAACCCCGACAATACTCAATATGTATAGATTGAACCTAGGGTTTTCGAGATTGGTCATATATATATATATATACTGTACCAAAGGTGCCATGTATACAATGTATATAAATATATAACTATGAAATAGCACCCATACAAAATAGGGCAATCACCATTTTAGAGAAATCATCTGTAAATGTGCTTCGTTTACATATCAAATTGTAAACGATGAAACCGCTCTCGGGGCAGTTTCCCACGCACTTGAGCAAACTTGAGCCATGCCAAAATAGGGAGACGGGATACCTATCAACCATCCAGTATTAAAAATGGATGTGATCGGGGTTATGTTTGAATATGTTGTCTTAATGGCTCACATACGTGTTTTTGGTTTGTGTGCAGGCTATTGGTGAGATAATAACCTGCAACAGCATCTCGCATTCATCAACTGGATATACATATATATATATATATACAATGATTACTTACATAAATCTTACGTATATATACATATGTATATGTGTATATATATATATATATTATAAAGAGCAGACAGACTGACTCCTCTAGCCTAGCTGGCAGTTGCTTAGAGCTTTGAGTTCCAAATTCGATTGATGTCTTAGCTTTGACTCTGATCATTGTGCATTATGCACCGTTGGGGTTTCCCAGCCACACCTACAGTTACCGCAGCATTTGCAATGTGCTTTTTGTCACGAGTAATAAACCCATATGATGAGAATAACTAACTGGAATATAGGGAAAACAAATATTAACGGGAATATAGGGAATATGTGGGAATATAAGGATAAGCCCGATAAACCACTATGATGGTAATTGGGAGTTCTGAACATTCATATTCATGCCCATATGCTCCATGGTGCTGGAATATTCACACCTTAATTGGGTCATTTTTTGAAAATGTGTTTTTTTTTTAAATTCCAGGACCATGAATCTAAATAGACAACTGATGATTTTCAGAGATTCCCGCCACCCTTGACCTTATCTATCGTTATCTGAGATGTGTCTGTCGGTGTGGCAGGTAAGAAACCCATAAGCTGTCCGAAAGGACATGAGTAGGTTAGAAAATACGGTCATGTCTTTGACAGCTCCCCGTGTTCTCAGCCACCGAATGTGTCGTGGTCAACGCCAGGGGGGCGGGTGATTGCTCAACGTTGCGAAGTTTCTCACACTTCACTAGCTACTGGGTGAATCCATAAGGATACTTGGTGGCTCATCCCACGAATCGTAAGTGGGTTATATCTCCCTAGTTATATGTGGATTAGCCCTACTCATCTCATTTATAACTGGGGTTACAATCCACTTACTGTAACTGGGATGAGCCACCAAGTAGCTTCTTGGGTTATTATTGCTAGAAATTGAAATCATGTCATGCCAACCTGCGACCACATGATGTTTTGTATGATATCTAAGTGTAGCCATGTTGTCAAGCAGCCAACCAAGCCAGCTGATCATAAAAACATGTGATTGTTGGATGTTGCGTTGGGGCTGTGTTTGACTTTCCGTCCCTTTCTTGAGGATGAGGCTTACTGTTGATTGATGTTTTCGAGAATGGATTAAACCATTGCCAGCTCGAAGTCTGACATCTTTGCATGTTGCTTTTCTCCCTTGTGGAAACTTCATGATCTGGAGCACTTCCGATCCCTGGCCCGAAATTGCTGGTACTGGCCTGGCGCAAAAATGACGCAATTGTGCTGGTGTTCCCAACGACTAATAGCTTGGCAGCCGAACTTCCATCGACTGCTCCGTCTCCTGCCACGTGAAAATTTGCGTTCGACTGCACTGTTCGCTTCACGCTTTGCGATCTTCGCGCGTGGCCTGACTGACTGTTCGCTTGCATGAAAAGGACCGCAGTGGGAAGCTTTGAAAGGCTTAAGATCGGGCATTAAGATTGATGGCGACCTAATCCATGTAATGATCCTTCCCTGGTAGCTTGACTTTGCTTTTACATGCCGGGCCTAAGCTCTATTCATTACTTAAAAGATTGCCAAAATATACATACGCTTGCGGATATGCTTCATGGGTGTTTCCAAAGAGAGGGGTAACCCTTAAATCATCCAAGACACTTAGACTTAGAAGTTAGCACCATGGGTTTGGGGTACCCTCAAAATTCCGCTTGCTTATCATTTTATCATCGTTTTCTCATTCAAATTGCAATTGCACGCAATTATTAGTTTTCACAAAGATATGATATCATATATGATATCCACTAATTTCTGACAGTTTTATTCTAAGATGAATATAATGAATACGCACCCCAAGCAGAGCTGCTCTAAGCCATAACGAGAGTCACTTTTTTGGGCAGAAACGGATGAGTTTCCCCACTGCGTATTTGGAGTGTCTGGGCCAGGAAATAAGCCTCTGTGGATGGTTGCGAAAGTTGGTAGATGGACAGTTTATCCCATTATAATCCCCACTATTTGCAGTGTTTTATAGTCACCAATATTTGCCAATTGGTGATTCGGATTTCGCAACCATCCACAGTATGACAACACACTAATGGGTCATTAATACTTATATACATAGATAACCTTACATATGCCATTATTAACCCTTGAATTTTCCGCCAGCTCCACTTTTGTCCATGGCCACAATTGGATCAATTGGGCTGAGCGTGATGTTGTTGAGACCATCTGTAGATACAATACTTGTTAGATAATTTTGGGGTATTTGATGGGTTAGGGATTATTTATAGTATAGATGATCTATATTATTTGTAGATTATTTATAAATCTATATATAATACATGATTATACATATGTATAGTTATATAATCTATAACATATGTTATTATTTTTTGGTAGATTTATAATTTACAATTATACATAAGGTATTGATAAAATCAGTTGAGCAGTTCAAACATAGTTTGTCGATCAAGATGAATTTCATACTATATACCCTCCAGCAATCAAACGTGGATTGCTGGAAACATCCAGTTTCTTTCTAACGCAAACGTTTACCAGAGGGTAAGTTGGTCATGTTGAACATGACCAAAAAACTATGAGTCCATAAAGGTACCCCGGGCCAACTGACAAGGCCAAGGAATGGATCGCAATGGTAGATATATTGCTCCAGATGTGTTTGGTATAGGAAAATCATGTATATTCATGGCGGTTTGAATGTTCGATATGATTATTTGAAGAGAATTTCAGAATTTACGTCGACGTATCATTGGATTTTTGTGAAACGTTTTCACATGTTCTCCCTGTGTTCCCCATATTTTTTTTTGCAGACTTGTTTCCAGTGTTCTTTTTTCCGATACATTTTCCCATATGTTTCCCAGAATACCTTCGGTGTGTTTCCTACATTATTGTGCCCCATACGTAAGTAAGTTTCTTTGTAACTATAAGAACTAGGGTTTACCCTGCTGTCATTCAACATAGCTATTGAACATGACCCAGATTTGCATATTAAAAGCGGTGATTTTCCATAGTTTGTTGTATGTTTACCAGAGGGTATGGGTAATGACATGTAGTTCAATGGGTCATAATCCAACAAACATTTCATGTTTGAGGGCAGCACCTTGCAGTTATTGATGGTAAATAGCCATCAACCCCCCAAACATTCCAGATTATGACCAGTAAATCCCATTCCAACCCATTAAATACATTATAAACTCATTAAAGCCCATTCACTCCCATTAAAAACCGACTAAAACCCATTAAAACATCTTAAAACCCATTCACTCCCATTAGAAACTGACTAAAACCCATCAAACGCCAATAGATTCAATAGATCCCATGAACACCGCATCAACTTCCCATGTTTTTCTCAGATCGTTCCCGGGAAACAGGTGGCCGTGGCGTCGGGGCTCCAGCAATTGGATGCCAGTTACAACCCACGGTGGCTGGAAGTTGAGGACACCAAGCAAGGGAAAAAAATGTCGACTGGTCAATCTTGGAATATAATGGGATTTAATGGTTTTTTTTCGTAATTTAATGGGGTTTCATGGGATTTATTATGATAATATATTGACAATGGTGATTTCATGGGATTGCAATGGTGATGTTTCATGGTACTTAATGGTGATGATATCATATTTATGTAAATAATCTGGTTGGGTAAATTATCATGGTGAATGTATGGGGAATCATCCCCAAATGGCCGCAAGATTCAGGTCAGTAAGATATTATCATATATCCCATAGGATCCATGGTGCTGCTATATATCGTAACATGGATCCCATGAATATACCCCAAATGTTAGCATATATACCAGCACCATGGATCCCATGGGATATATGACTGGTCGGTGGTTTAGAACCATGGATTTTTATGACTTTCCATCATATATTGGGAAGAATCACCCCAACTGACTTTCATATTTTTCAGAGGGATTGAAACCACCAGCCAGTATATATGATATATGGATAGTAGCTATAAGGTAAGTGTAAGGTAAGTATACATATATATAATTATATATATGTATATTATAACCATACATGGATATATGAGCAAGGGTCAAAAGATGCTATGTACAGATTTAGTATTCGTCCGCCGTCACTTTCAAAAATCTGTGATTTCCTGTGGGGAGCAATAGGGAGCCTTGAAGAGCAATACCCCCTTAAGTAGGTAAATATGTTGTCATACTACTACTACTACTACTGCTACTACTGCTACTACCAGTACTACTAGTACTACTGCTACTACTAGTACTACTAGTACTACTAGTACTACTAGTGCTACTAGTACTTCTAGTACTACTACTACTACTACTAGTACTACTAGTACTACTAGTACTACTAGTACTACTAGTACTACTAGTACTTCTAGTACTACTAGTACTACTAGTACTACTAGTCCTACCTCTACTTAGGTTTTAGCCAATCATTAAGTTTGGACATAATGCAGTCACGAGAGTTTGCAGAAACAACGACATTTAGGCTTGGGACATACTTTTTGCTCTCCTCCAGTGCGTCATGGTTCACACAAAGCGCTCTCACCGTGAAGCCGCATTGGTGCCAACTGATTCTGTCAGGGCACAAGTGCTTAGAGTTGCGAAAGCAATCGTGCAGAGTACTGCCACGGGACAGATCCCACTTGTGGCCTCGGGCACCAACTACATCGCAGGTCTTGTGGAGCTACTCGCCTTGATCTCATGGTTTCTACAATCGAAACTGCAAGATTTGGTTTGTCTTCATCATGTTTAATGGGATGTGCTTCATGACCAGGAGGAAAGTGATCCGGGAGTGTGGTCGCGCAAGAAACGCGCAAGGTTGGCGCAAGGCCGGCCCAAGAGGCCTTTGTGGGAACAATAATTTAGGACAACCCCCATATATCATGTTGCTTCCCCTGGACGCTCTGAAACTGGTCTGAAACCTATCTAAAACCTTGTTTGCGCGCACTTACCAGAACCATCATCCATCATAGGGCATGAAATTTATTATTTGCCTTGACTAAGTATGAGCTAGAACACTACCAGCGTTGACCCCAGGATCCAGTACTTGAGCATATCAGTTGCCAAAGCAAGGTTGGGGGTACGAAGAATGCGCAAATTTTTCAGGATATAATTGTGGGGCGCACGTTAGACCAGCTTGCGTTCAAACGAGCCCAATGCTGGACCCCAGTTGGGCTCAAGTTGGGCCCAAAATCGAGAACCGATTCGACGCAAGTTAGCTTCCCAGACACCAATCATTCCACGGGAATTGCGGCCCTGGTCCCGTCTCACAGCTGCCCAAATAGAGGGAATCTCCCGGAATTCTCCACGTGTCCGGGAGGAGCAGGCCTCACCGGAAGAGACCGAAATTATTTCCCTGTTAGTTAAAGCAGCTTTGCTGCTTGTTAAGAAAAGGTTTGTCCGTGATGTCACAATTTGTGACCATGTCACACTTGGGGAGAGTGCTGGCCAAACGTCAAAAATTGGATGATTCCGGCTGATTCAGCACCTTGTAGCAAACATGATGTTCCGACATTCTTTCGATATTTCAAACGCATCTTGGCCCGTATGGCCCTACTGCTGGCATGCTCACCTGATTTGAACGACCCCCATATAGGTATATATTCTATGTATATATGTATATATATAAATATATATATAGATAGACGTAATATTCTACTATATATATAGAAATACATATACATATAGATATATTTATATAATCCATCTTCTTTTTGGCCAAAAGTGAACTCCCACTGTGTGAAGCGATAGGGAGCCTTGAGGAGCGATACCCCCTATACTGATGACCAAGGAATCAGTATCATGTTTTGACCGTTGCACATATGGATAAAAACATAATAACTAGGTCAATCAACTGGATGGGTAGAAACTACTCCTTTTTTGTCCTTGGTATGGGATGATCCACGTTCACCAGCTGCCAGAATTGGTCATTATTTTGCAGGGTATCTATGGTTGGCCATGATGTCACTGGGATGTTATATTGAATATTAATATGTTTTTTTTTGCATATGATGAATATAACAATAATGATTATTGAACATCATAATATCCCTGGAAAATGTGGATAGTTCATGGGAATATATTCTCAGTTTCAAGGGATATCAATGGGATATGAAACTAGTCATATGGTAAAAGGGAATTAACAAACAAAACGCGCACACACACACACACTATAGCATAGTTGACGCTTGGATTTAACTTCTCGTATTTTTGGTTTGGATTAAAGTTGGGGGATATAAGAAACTACCATCTGCTTATGACTAACATAGCCATGGAAGCCATGGCCCATAGAAATAGATGGTTTACCTAGCTATAAAGTGGTGGATCTTTCCATGGCTATGTTAGTCATAACCAGATGGTATAGTTTTCATGGATTTATGAAGCAACTTACATAAAAAATGGGCCTCACCTCACCTTGGGGCGCACGATTGTTGGGAGATCTGCGATTTAAAAGGTGGACTTTTCATGGGAACATGACGAAGAATTGCTATCTGATTTGGGATATATATATATATATACAATATGTATATATATATATATATAATATGTATATATATTATATCCCTATGGATCCAAACACTGTCTAAGAAGGTACCTAACCTAACCCCCCTTTACTTATATTCCAGTCCCACTTCCTTTCAGAAGATACGGCTGGATCCATAGGCTATATATATGTATATATCTATATCATATTCTACCATATATACAGTATATGTTTGTTAAGGAATATGAGATTTGTTCCGATTACCCTGATAACCCCCATAGGATTTACATATTATAACTCCATTTTTTGTTTAGTATTCCAAATTTGTGGAACATCTTAGTTATATACCTATAATCCATGTGGATAGTTCATTGAGGATTTGATGGTGGGGTAATAGGTAGGTACAACTGGGAATATACATGAACAAATACACGTGGGCCTCCGAATAGAATAGTGAAGTGGTGTACAACTGGGCTTGTTTGGGATTTATGGTGGAAATTATGGTGGGATTTATTTTCATGGGTATGAATTCATATAAATTCATCAAAACATGGGGATATTTCATGGGATAGAATGGAAGTGGTGATATTTAGTGGAATATAATTTGCTGTCCCTATAGGATTAATCCTAACATAGATGTAGAAAACCCGTGGGGAAACCCCAGGAAAATGATCTACATCACGGGCAACAAGTTACTAGAAGTTACGGGTGTCTTGTGAGGGTAACTCACCCAAAATTGCCGAACTTACCCTCTGGTAATTTAACATAGCTATTGAAAATGGTGATTTATAGTGGATTTACCCATTGAAAATGGTGATTTTCCATAGTTATGTTAGTTTACCAGATGGTATTTTCCACTCATATGCAATTGGCAATAAACATTGGACATTCCGCATGGTGACACACATTTCCTGTACGGATAATCCCGCCCCTTCATCCAATGGAACCTCACCAAAACAAACCGCTGGTAAACGAACATGTCTATGGAAAACTATATAATAGGTACAGGTAATGTTTGGGTTTATGGGAGATCTAAGTCTACAATAAATTTGAATACTGTATATTATAATACTCTATCTGGTTGGTGGTTTGGAACATGAATTTTATTTTCCCATATATTGGGAATAGCAACCCCAACTGACCAATATTTTTCAAGATGGTTGAAACCACCAACCAGATATAATAGGTACTGTAAATTAACTATCAAATACCATGTCCAAAAACTATGCAACAAATTACCAGAGGCTACGCACAAAAAAGTGGCGCGCTTGCGCGTCAGGAGCAGCAAATTGGACAGCTGGACTGGTTGCATCCACAGCACCTTGGTTTTTTTCGAGATGGGGTGGGATTGTCCCAAACATTTCTTTTTACAGAGATCCACAAATTTAAGATGGTAATGGATGGTTACAGTATGTTGGAGTAATATATACGTATATATATATATCATGTAATTTACTGCCTAGGATGTGTATCGCTATAGATTAAGATCTCACATCTCACAGGTGCATCAAAACCACAATCCAACGAGGGTCAAAATGACACACCCCGTGGGAGAACAGGACATCATCATTGGGGCCACGCTTTGCGGCCCGGCTCTGGGGCCCCGGGCCGCATCGTGATTTTTTATTTTTTCTGAGTTTTCCTCATGAATGTATACATAATAATATAGTATATATATATATATAGTATAATACATATACCCCATTCCATCCAATGGTCTAGAAGTCTAGAACCATAGATGCGCTAAGTTTTTAAACTTCGATTTGGACTTCCAGGCTGCCATTGGGCAACTCCCCACGTTGCACCAAAAAACCTGGGTCTTTTCAGGACTGGATTTGCCGTGGCTGCCACTGGACTTTATGCACCTCTGCAGACAGTGGGACCGGTGAATGGTTTGTGGAGGATTTTCCTCATGCTGTGGATGGTTGCGAAATCCTGCACCACCTTGGATGGTTGAAACCCATAAATAATAGGATAAACCGTCTATCAACTGGTGCAGGATTTCTTCCATCCACAGTAAGTTGCATGGAAGTTCCATGTGGCAACTATCGGTGAATCCGGAATAGGTAGTCTTTCAATTTGATTTTTATTAGATTCGAAGGTTTTAAAGGTACCCTCTGGTAATTTAACATTGCTACTGGAAATGGCCATTGATAGTTGATTTGCCAGTAAAAATTGTAATTTTCCACAGTTTTTTTGTACGTTTACCAGGCCGGGTAAACTTGAGTTTTTCACTCACGTGGCATCATCATTTTCCTCATCCCAATAGATCCCTATCACAAGGTGAGGCCCCCGTAAAAACGAAATCGCGAAGTTCACGCATAGTTCACGAACGAAATCGCGTTCAGTTCACGCGGCTCGGCCACGCATCGTCAATGTTGTTTTGGTTTAGATCTAACTCTACAATAAGTTAGAACATATATTATAATACTCTATTTGGTTGATTGGTTGGTGGTTTGGAACATGAATTTTATGTTCCCACATATTGGGAATAGGAATATTCATCCCAACTGACTAATAAATATTTTTCAGAGGGGTTGAAGAACCAACCAGCCATAGTATTCATATCATATGGGTTTCAGAAAGCGACCGCCATTTCACCTTTAGGGAACCTCACCTCATGAGTGACAAACCATCTGGGTCCCGAGGGCTTCGACATGTTGCGCTTCTTGGGCTTTTCAGACATCAAGTGGACCACAGTTGGAGCTTTTCTCAAAAGAACATCTTGCCAGGACAGCCATGCTTCGAAGTTCTTCTTGGCTGTTTTCTCCTCTCTTCCTGAGTGGACATTCTCTAGTCGAGACGCCCCTGTGCATCTGACGGCTTCAGTGGAGCTGCATTCTTTGTCAATGTTCAGGGTTGCAGATTCGGCAGAGTTCGAAGCGCAGTCGCCGTTTGCCGATGAAGGTGAGCTTCAACGTATTGCTACTTCGCGCCTTCCGAGTGATGGTTTGTGGAGGATTTTCCTCATGCTGTGGATGGTTGCGAAATCCTGCACCACCTTGGATGGTTGAAACCCATAAATAATAGGATAAACCATCTATCAACTGGTGCAGGATTTCTTCCATCCACAGTAAGTTGCATGGAAGTTCCATGTGGCAACTATCGGTGAATCCGGAATAGGTAGTCTTTCAATTTGAATTTTATTAGATTCGAAGGTTTTAAAGGTACCCTCTGGTAATTTAACATTGCTACTGGAAATGGCCATTGATAGTTGATTTAGCCATTAAAAATGGTAATTTTCCACAGTTTTTTTGTACGTTTACCAGGCCGGGTAAACTTGAGTTTTTCACTCACGTGGCATCATCATTTTCCTCATCCCAATAGATCCCTATCACAAGGTGAGGCCCCCGTAAAAACGAAATCGCGAAGTTCACGCATAGTTCACGAACGAAATCGCGTTCAGTTCACGCGGCTCGTTCACGCATCGTCAATGTTTTTTGGTTTAGATCTAACTCTACAATAAGTTAGAATATATATATTATAATACTCTATCTGGTTGGTTGGTTGGTGGTTTGGAACATGAATTTTATTTTCCCACATATTGGGAATAGGAATATTCATCCCAACTGACTAATAAATATTTTTCAGAGGGGTTGAAGAACCAACCAGCCATAGTATTCATATCATATGGGTTTCATAAAGCGACCTTTAGGGAACCTCACCTCACGAGTGACAAACCATCTGGGTCCCGAGGGCTTCGACATGTTGCGCTTCTTGGGCTTGGTGAAACCTACAGCCACAGAGGCACTGGGAAAACATGCCGTTGATCTGGGTTTATCATCCATAGTGGGCCGAGCCTGAAAGAGTTTAGTAAAATATGTCTGAGATTTACTGAGATTTGTAGACGATTTAATCCATTTCAATTGCCGTGTTTCATTACCAGATGGTAATGGCTGGGGGGATTTGGATGGCGAGAGAATCAGAAAACCTTCGCTCTGGGTCATTTGACCCATGCAATCCCTTGATGTTCGGAGTTGATCTTTTGGGGGAATTCACCCAGAAATTCATGGGGTTTGCCTCATCAACATCGAGACTGCGCCGGTTGAGTCGCCAATTCGCCACGGGGGGATTTCCCCTTTTTCGCCACGTTCGATGTCCGCCGTTCCGCCGTTCTCCATCTCCCATCCTGTTGCAGGCGTTGATTGCAGTCTTCGTCTACCTGGGACTCTATGCCTCGCGCTTGGAGGTGGGCTGGCCACGAGGAAGTGGGTCAACCAACTGGAAGACTGGGAAAAATCATTCGCTAGAACGAAAATTCCAGTTGGATGAATATAGTTCTATGATAGTCATAAGTCATAGCTACTTGAACTGGGAAAATAGTTCTGTGATTCTAGTTTTTTTCACTAGACTGAACTGGGGAAATAGGCCACTCCCCATTCCAATTAGGATTCAATCCTCTCCATGAAAATTGTCGACCAATGTCCTCGCCGCAGGAGGTGAAGAACATGGACAAGCACTACCAGGCCCGCGAGTTCGTGACTGACCTGAGGCCATGACTTTATATCCATATATGGCCGTGACTGTATACTGGGGGTATACCGGTATACCGGTAGAAATATCCAAAGAACATAGGGAACAATAGGGAACATGATTATAAACCAAGCCTATTTGACAAACCCATATCTGGAATTATCTGGATCCATGCTTGGGAATATATGTTTGGGCAACACTTAAAAAAAGCCTAGTTTACAGTTGAACATGGACCAGGACAAGCCCGATCTTTCACTGGGAATTTAACTGGTGATCTTCCACAAATAATCTAATTGAGTTATAGGATTGTTACATTTAAAACGGGGGTGCAGTACTTATATATCCCAGCTGGGAGGTATCCCACGCTTGTAGCCATGAATAGCATCATCCCAATCAGGTGAAATAGAAAAAATCGAAGCGTGATCACCTACCTAAAAGAAATTGGGCAGATGATAGTTCAATGTGTTATTTGTGGGGTGGGGTTTTTACAGTTTACAGTTTTACATCCCCGTTTATAGTTAAATGTCTTAAATCCCATTGTAATATATTGTAATGGATTAAATTGCTTAAATAGTTTTAATATTACTATACCCATCAAATCCCAGGAAATCGACAAGAAATCACAATGGTACAAGTATGCCATTAGATCACCATGATATTCCTATAATAGTCCTTTATATTCCCATTATATTTCCATCATATTCCCATTCGATCACCATGATATTCCATGTTATTTGCATATCTTCCCTAACTTTTGTTGGGGCTACTTAGATGGGCCATGGAGTTAGTTATCTACTTAGTAAATGGATTATAACTGGGATATAGGGCGTAACAAATCCCCAGTTACTAAGCAGGAATCGCTAATCCCATGGCCCATCTAAGTAGCTATGGACCAGGTGAGTTTCTACGCCTCCATTGGCTGGACCATCTATGCCTTGGCTGCTGGCTTCGATGGGCAGAGCGGACAAGGGGAGGGAAAATCCATAGGAAATTCATGGGAAAACCATGGGACAGTGCAGGTTTTTTCATGGGCAATTCATGTCACCATACGGGAAATCATGGGAAAATCCATGGGAACACAGAATGGGACATCAAGGGGACATGTGCCTAGCAAGCAGGAACTGCGATACATTGGGAATGAAAGCCTTGATAGCATCCTTGGTCAAGTGGAAATTCTGACTACCACAATGGCCACGAAGAAAACGGAATGATTTGCCATGGCAGAGCCTCATGGCAGGGCCTCCCCCCTGCCACTCCTGGCACAGCTCGCTGACTTCAGGGAGACCATGACAGCCATGTCTGAGCTCGCTGAGTAACGGTTAACGTTACGATGTACAAAAAGCATGCAATCTGTGTTGAGAATATTGATATGTTTGCGACATTTACATTACACTTACCATGTTACCATGTTTGTCCCCCTTGCAGCAAACTGGCTGTTTCAATACATTCCAAGATCCGGCATGGCCAGCTGCGGAACTTCCCCACGTCGTTCTTTGTTGCGGATTGCTGGCGGATAACAATTTCCACAGTGTTTGAAAGTGCCTCTAATTTGCGATGTGTTTGGTTGAAACGCCTTGATTTCACCGTTTTCCCATTCTCTGGCAAGAATCTCTAAATCATATCATTGAACTCCACATTTTCCCATTCTCTGGCAATTCCAAAGACATCTTCAGTCAGGGTCTTGATTCTTCTGCAGACCATTCCAATGCGGTGATTCCACGCGAGTGTTTTCCATCCTGTTTTCGTTGACGACATCATGTGGTAATGTCAACCCCGGATTTTCATAAACTGCTGTTGAATTGGGAGGGTACCATTTAATTTAAGTAGATGAAATGACTATTGGAGGAGTACCACCCTAATTCAACCACCATGGTCTTTTAATCCGGGGTTGACATTATGGGTTAATCCCTAATAAATTCAGTAGTAAAACTGTTTTTTCCTCTTTATGTAATAATCAACCAACATTCATCAGGTATAAATGTTATTATAATATCCCCATATCAAAGGTTGATAGCTAAAATATGGTAAAACCCTTAATCTTATAGGATCCTATACCCTCTGGTCAACCAACGTAGCTATGGAAAATCCTCATTGTTGATAGGTAAATCAACGGACAAATCTCGAAACTCAGATGCTCCATGGTGCAATGTTTGGGAATCTTTGCCACCAAAAAAAACCCTAAAAATCAACGAAATGTAGGTAAATAAACCATGCATGGAGCATATGGCAGTGTGTCAAAACCTTGTACCCCTGGTGAACATCAAAATAGCTGGTAAATGGATGTTCATCCCACTAAAAATGGTATTAATAGGTATTAATCAATACCCATGTAGGTAAATAAACCATGCATATGAAAAGAATTTTCCAGCAATCAACGGGGGTCGCGCCACCGATTTCGGCTCAGGCGTCGCTGTTCCATGCGCTGAGCTGCGGCCCAGAGCCACCAATGTCCAGAGGTTTCCCGTCGCAGATGGCATTGGAAAATCGCCCATTTACTAACACAACCATGACAATTTATGGTGATTTTGACATTTGTCATGGTTGTGTTAGTTTCCTGGATCATATTGATGAACTTCCCATTGCAATGCCAATCTCATCCGGGAAAACTTACGCACTAGCCACGTTACTGGAGGGTAACTAGGATTGTATGTGAGCCACCAAGTAACCCACAAAAGGATAGGACTGGTTACATGTACTGTTCTTTTGTTGGTTATATTATGATTGACCAATGGTATATAGACAACAATATGATATAACATCCAAAAAACGGAAGAACAGTTGAAACGTTCCACTATTCCACACGTCTATCTTCCTTGCGTTTTCTGAATACTCGTTTTCACTTGTTATGTTTTCTCAATATTTTGAGGTTGGTCTTCAAAGAGTAGCCTCTGGTTATTGTAAAAGAAACGATGGAAACCAACGGGCCCACCAGGGTATCATCTCCATTTTGGTACCATCCATTTTTCCGGGTAACCTTATGGTTTTATATAGTTTTATAATGTGGGCCATGTGGGTTATTCCCCACCTGCCAGGTGAGGGTTGTTAGATTTTATGTCAGTTGCCTGCTCCTCCTCTCCTCTTCTCCTCTCCTCCTCCTCGTCGTCCTCCTCGTCCAACTGCGACCCGCGATCCACAGTGTTCTCTGTCGGACCTCAACCACGACCATCCCCGCCCAGTGTTCCCTGCCGGACCTCAACCACGACCATCCACGCCCAGTGTTCCCTGCCGGACCTCAACCACGACCATCCACGCCCAGTGTTCCCTGCCGGACCTCAACCGCGAGTATCCACGCCCAGTGTTCCCTGCCGGACCTCAACCACGACCATCCCCGCCCAGTGTTCCCTGCCGGACCTCAACCACGACCATCCACGCCCAGTGTTCCCTGCCGGACCTCAACCGCGAGTATCCACGCCAAGTGTTCCCTGCCAGACCTCATGTAGGAAGATATGGGACAAAGAATGTGCAGAAGAAAGTTAGAAAGAATGTCAGAAAGAATGTCAGAAGATATGCCAGAAGATATGCCAGATAGAATGCCAAATAGAATGCCAGATAGAATGCCAGAAGATATGTCAAAATATATGCCAGAAGATATGCCAGATAGAATGCCAGATAATATGCCAGAAGATATGCCAGATAGAATGCCAGAAGATTTGCCAGATAGAATGCCAGAAAATATGCCAGAAGATATGCCAGATAGATATGTCAGAAGATATGCCAGAAGATATGCCAAAAGATATGCCAGAAGATATGTCAGAATATATGCCAGAAGATATGTCAGATAGAATGCCAGAAGATATGTCAGAATATATGCCAGAAGATATGCCAGATAGAATGCCAGATTGAATGCCAAAAGATATGTCAGATAGAGTGCCAGAAGATATGCCAGATAGAATGCCAGAAGATTTGCCAGATAGAATGCCAGAAGATATGCCAGAAGATATGCCAGATTATATGCCAGAAGATATGCCAGATAGAATGTCAAATAGAATGTCAGAAGATATGTCAGATAGAATGCCAGAAGATTTGCCAGTAAGAAAATGTATAAATGTCATGGTGGGGATCACACGAAGTAAAGTAATTCGTGCTTTTGCCATTTAGATGGGAAATAGACTAGGAACAACTTTTCAAAGCTGTTTGATCTAAGATCAGCCATAGTTTAAGGGACAATCTACAGGAGACAATAGATGTAGCTGCCACAGATGTGGATGGAAAAATCCTGCACCAGTTGGAGAATATAAAAGGTAACTGTGAAACACTTATAATGGAATAAACTATCTACCAACTGGTGACTGGTGCAGGGTTTCTTTGTGGCTACCCCCTACCGGGTGAAGATTGTCGCGGCTGCAGACATGGCCGAGAGCCTTCACACCGTTGGCGCTGGCATCTTCTTGTTGAGCTGCGGATACTTTTATAGCTGCTGGACTGCACAATTCAGCGACTGGATGGACGTTGAATGGGATTTACTGGGATTTGATGGCTTTTAGAACCGATGGGTATTCACCACCAATAACTACAAGCTAGTGCCTGGTCCTTTTCAGTGTGTTTATAAAGCCCATTCACTAGTTTGATATATAGTCAATCTACTTACATAAGTAACCTATAATATATTAATACGTAAGTATATCAGTATTATATGTGTATATATATATATGATACATATATATATACATATGTGCCTATTTGATTTTAGTGTTTGATATATATATATATTATAATTTTGTTTGATATTTATATTAATACTACCTTATAATTTTTATAGTCAAGCTACTTACAAAACAACTTAGCTAAGTAGCACCACCTTGTAGAGATTTCACGCCGTGATATGATGGGGACATACCAACAAAGAATTCTGAGGAGATCTTGGGGGAAACCAATTGCATGGAAGAAATGTTTTGGGGGATTTTTGGGATGATTAACCAACAATTCTGGGGGGGAAGCTTCAATACTTTCATTTTTTGCCATAGAGAGTGGAATATTTTAGCACCATGTTTGCAAAGTCAATAGGCACCACAGTCTCAACGTGGATTATAAAAAATCATCAACTTCCCCAGTCCGATAGGGAATTCCACATGTGTATTTTGTTGGCTCTAGCCAGACCCCATAGTCGGTGATGGTGAGACTAGTTGATTCCTATGCGCTCCTTTTCCTCCTGAATTAAGACGCATTTAAGTTACCCTCTGGTAAACTAACAGTTTGCTATGGCAAATCACCATGTCTAATAGGTAAATGAACTGTAAATGGGCCATTTTCAATGGTTATGTCAGTCATTACCAGAGGCCAATCATGTTCATGCCTGCTCAGATCCCAATTCTTGTTGATTACTTGGTGGCGAACTACCCACGAATCCTGGATGTGGGTGAAATATCCCTGGTTCATCCAGTGGGATTTCTGTAGGCTTAATACACTTACAGCTGGGGTTATAACTAAGTGGGATGAACCACCAAGTAGTGAAGGTAATTTATCCCTGTCGTTGCTTGTTCGCAAGATCCGAAAAAATGTGCACAAAACAGAACCTTCAGCATGCCCTATTGGAGACACTGCAGGCTACCACTGGGGTCGGATTTTCCGACACATTCAGGTGGGCTGCGATGGGTACCCACTGGTAAACATAAAAAAACTATGGAAAATCATCAACTTCAATAGGTAAATCAACTGTAAATGTGCCGTTTTCAATAGCTACAGAGGGTAACCATGTTCATGGCTTGCTGAAAAAACAAATTTAGTTCGATGAACTTCCCAGCCACAAACCTCCATTTCATTCGGAACGTTTGATGAACCCGGGTAAATCTGGGGATGTCAATCCCGCATCAATTGGTGCTGCATTGAGGAAGGGCCAAGGCTCTGATGGTTCGTACTCGCACTACTACAGGAACATGGTGGACAGTGACTCCGACAGTGAAAACCATGCCTGTAGCGAGTGTATCGCGCGCTTCCGCAGTGGCACGCAGCGAAGGCCCAACAGTGCATCTGGCGCCGCGAGTGCATGGCCTGTTCTCAGGCCGAGCGCAAACCATCGCAGGAACGCAACAACCCCTGCAGCGCGTTCCCTTCACTGTGGGCAACCTCTGCCAAAGAGAAGAGCCTTTGCTCACAGCAGAGACTCCTGACACCATCAGTGGCTGCCACTGGCTGAAAAAATGGCCCCTAGACAAGCAGAAAGTTGATTGAAACTGGTGCAACTAACCTGAATCATTGATGATCTATCTATCTATCTATCTTTCTATCTATCTATCTATCTATCCATCCGTCTGTCTATCTATCTATCTATCCATCCGTCTGTCTATCTATCTATCTATCCATCCGTCTGTCTATCTATCTATCTATCCATCCGTCTGTCTATCTATCTATCTATCTATCCATCCGTCTATCTATCTATCTATCTATCCATCCGTCTGTCTATCTATCTATCTAATCTAATCTAATCTAATCTAATCTAATCTATTCTATTCTATTCTATTCTATTCTATCTATCTATCTATCTATCTATCTAATCTAACTAATCTAACCCATAGACTACTTACTACTTAGATAGATAGATAGATAGATAGATAGATATCCCGGTGATATATTCTTCCCCATCTTCGAGATATGCCTTGTAAATCTCCATTAAACGTATGAATATGTCACAATGAATATCCATTAAAATATCTCCATTAGATAGTTAATATGCAACATTTAATATCCCCTTGTTATTATTCCCCATAGGCCATGTAAACCAGCAATCTCCTGGGTGTTTGGTGGCACCGTCTGACAGGTATCCCTGTTATGGGTGATAACCCCCAATAGATTGGGTAGTATAAGCCTCTAGTTACACTTAGTTAAACCTAATTACCATTAAAAAAACAACATAATTTACCATACTCAACCATAGTAAAATTAGGTAGTATAAATATAGGCCCCTAGTTACACCATGGTTAACCATAGTTAGCCATGGTTAACCATAGTCAACCAGAGTCAACCATGCTTAAACCTCATAGAAAAGGATATGTTAACCATACTGTATATTAACCATCGATTTTCTACATAGACTAGCCATAGATGCATCATCATACTTCACCATAGTCAATTTTCACCATAAACCATAGCCCATATGCTCCATGGTGCTGGAATATTGACCTACATCACTGGGTCACTTTTTGGGGGTGTTGGCAAATATACCAGCACCATGGAGCATTGGGAATAGCAAATACATCAACCAAATATCCCCATTGGTCAAATCCGATATTGGTAGATGTAAGTAGCTTATAACATGTTAGTTCACCCCAGTTTTGTTAGTAGTGGATAAAAACCCTACGCGTATCCCACGATGAAGGGAGAAAAGCAGATCCCGCCAGGAGGGTCGCTTCCGGCCCTACTTTGCCTTTGGCCTTGCCAGCCTCACCTTTGTGCACGGCCTCACGGTGGGGAGCTAATTTTTTACATTTTTTTACTGCAAAAACGTGGTGAATTTAAGGAACGTGAACAAACATATGAACAAAAAATGGATTTGGTGAGGAGGTGGTCAAATGATGTCAAATCTGTGATCTTTTGGGGCATTTTAGATGGTAAACCGGCTGAATTAGGTAAAGCTTGGTGAAGGGTAATTAGTTCTATCCTTTAACCTCGTGCCATTTTGACCAGGACATAGTAACCTAATCAGTTTTTTTTACAAAAGTATCGAAGCGTTGGTCATGTTTAGCTGCAAAAAAATGATGATTGAACCGAGCCATGAAGTTATCGACCTCAACTGCAACAAGTTAGGGTCTTCATGGTAGCCATCGTGCACCACGAATCATCTTGATGTGCAGGTTGGTCACATTTGGAAAATGATGGACGACGGGGATCTCAACCGGTGGGGTGTTTGGATGGGGCCTGGCCGGCAGTTGGAAGCGTAGGAACCTGGGAATTGTGAGGAAAGAATTATCTTCAACATTTGGCAAAACTGTTCCACCAGGTGTAATGTTTACAATTGGTAGTGGTTACAGTATACATATATTTTATATATATATACACATATATATATATTATAATTAAGTCTTCCGACAACCTCTCGGCCAGTCAAATTGAGGGCCCTGGGCCCGGGTCAATGTGAGCTGTAATCCCAACAATCTGATTGTTGACTTCAACGATACAAAGCGACAAACCGAAAAAACACGATACAAACTATTGAACATGCTGGAAAATATATGAGCATATTAGACATATTAGAAAATATTGAGGAGCTTACGATCCTCCGATCTTATTCCTTGGAAACCGAGCTGCTCTAAGTTTTGGCTGCACGATTTTCGGTGGGTTTTTCGGTTGTGCCAGTTGTGCCAGTTTCTTTCGCAGCCCGATATTCAAATCTGCAAATCCCTATGCTCCGTCAATCATCGGGTAAGATGGCTAATGGAGACCCTCATCCACATACTCAAAACACATCTTGTCCGAACATAGGGAGTAAACATGGTCCCTTTTTTTGGGGCTATCACAGATGAAATGACCAAATTCATTGGGGTACAGTGCGGTAAATCCTCCATTCATTGGCAATTCACTGCTATGAAGGAAGTTTTTTGAGCAATCATCATGTACCCCATTTTTCATTTGCCGGGGTGATATGACCTTCACGGCTATTCCCTACCGTTTTTTTTCACGATCACCCCTTGCGGGGATTGTTGTGGCCTGGGTCACTGAATTTCGGTGGAGTCAGTGTTTCAACTTACTGAAAATCTGAAACAATGGAAATTGGGACACCAATCTATGGAGAGAAACTGAGACTGTAACCAATCTATGGGAAGGGATTACTTAAAATCTACAACTTACTGAAATTGGGATTGTTTAATGACGACTTTCCAATTGGTGGAGTCCTTCCGGGAACGAGCGGATAAAGCAAGCTTCAGCTGAGGATCCTCAGTGGTATGACACAGTGCAGAAGATCTACCCAGATCAGTGGCACCTGGGCTGTTTAATCTAGTCCTGGGTGCAGCAAAACATATCGACACATGGAGTGACACGGCTTGGTTGAAGGGTTGATATATCAATAGATGAGTCAACATAAACCAACAAAGATAGTTGGGGGGGCCTCTCTTATGCTTTCGCCCGGAGTCATTGAACAAAACATTGTGAGCCATTGTGAGCCCTATATAAGATAGGACCCCAACTTCCATGGTTGCTTTCATCTCACATTTTCATACATTTTCGAAACCTTGGACCAGAGAAGCAAAAAAATCGATCACCAAAGGTGGCATAAAATGTGGTGTTTGAGGCTATGAACCGATGACCGGGATTTCGGCTTAGTGATAGCAGAGATATGCATATGATATGCATAACTCCCTGTATATCTGTATTGAATCACTTGAACACGTCTCTTATTCATCCAACAAACATATTCAACATGTTTCATGTGATCATTTTGTTGTTCAGCCAACGAGGGATGTATATTTGTTGCCACCAAACATGAGCATATCAATCGATATAAAACAACTAGCAACGTCCGCTTGGTGGTACAACCTGTTCTGGTTGGTGGTTTCAAACATTTTTTACTTTCCATAGTATATGGGATAATCCTTCTCATTGACTAATATTTTTCAGGGGTTGAAACCACCAACCAGGTTATTGTTGGTCAACAATAATCCAGGAATTCAACTCTCACCGGCTCCGGACTGGTGACCCTGTCAGAATCTCAACATTTGGAACGCCCATCCAGCGGTTGTTTTCAGGGGACCGTCCGGCCAGAAATTCAGGCCTAGCCTAGATGGTATAGATTTGCCATTGGCTAGCTACCTCTGATTTTGTTGACATGTTCGAAGATATGGACATTGCATGAAATTGCGGAAGCAAGAACACACCAAATAAACAACAGTTTCCAACTCTTTTGACATGTTCGTGTTTCAATGAGCATGTAACTACTCACCATCTATAACAGTACTCACCAGCAACTAGTTTTTCTGGAATGATATCCTGATGTGTACCGTCACAGGCTGGTGGTGCCCCAGATCTTTAGCTAAGTTGGAGAACAGTTCGGTAGTTTAAGAATGTTTAAGAATGATTGATGGTAGATAATTAGATGTTTTCGAATTTCAGAATCTACAGGATACTGCCCCCCAGTTATAAGTTGATGTACACAGTAGTCCCCTTTAACTATAGTTATACCCCCCATGAACCCTAGTTATTGGACTTATGTTCACGAACTTTGCCAATGGACTGGGGCACCGTCCTGTACGCTTTGTACGCCAACATCACTGGGCGACACCACCTTGCAACAGCACATTATACTGTTGTAAAGCAAACATGATGAACCATCCCCAAGGAGATTATCAACCACCAGAGTTTCTGATCATCGTCGTCGCATCTACAGTTATGTTATGTTGATTAAAATCTGATCCGGGCTGGTTATTACATGTTATTACTTTATTGCTATCTCTTCTTGATGGTTTCCCAGTTAGTGGGTGATATAATGATACAATATACATAGACATATATTTATATATATACACATGTAGACATATCTATATATATATATATACATAATACATATATATATATATACATACATACATATATGTACATATATGTATGTATACATATATATATATACATACACAAGGACTACTCCATATATATATATATATAGCCGGGTTATCATGTTTTTTTTCCCACTTAATAAGTGGGATACAGCCCCAAACATTTCGTATCTTTTGTTCGGTCCTCGGGGCTGTGTGAGGCAGTGGATTGCGGACACCCGTTTCGCTGAGCTTTATCTCACGGTGGGCTGAAGTCAAGTCTGGGGCATGATTGTTGAATCATGGTTGGATGTTGGTTGTATGATGTTTTTTTTTGAGAAATGGAGAAGTTGACCCTGCACTTTGTGGTTTTATTTTCAGCATATTAAAGTTATGAGAGTATAGCACATTGAGGATTTCAGTGGATTTCATCCATGGCCAGTTCGATGGGATGATGACAGCCCGTTTTTTTCAGGGAAAAACATCACACATACTGTGGATGGTTGCGAAATCCTGCACCAGCAAAAGGATGGTTGAAAGCCTATAAATGATGGGATAAACCATCTATCAACTGGTGCAGGATTTCTTCCATCCACAGTATCATCCCATTTATTCTAGGTCAATCAACTGGATGGGTAGAAACTAATCCTAACTAGTCTTTTGGTATGGGATTATCTACGTTCACCAGCTATGAAATTATTTTTTGGCAGGGTATCTAAGATTGGCCATGATTTAACTATATGTATATATGTATACAGATATACAGATTACAATACAGATATACACATTATATTAGATCGTAAACCATGGCGGTATCATGATGTGAACACTCATGGGGGTTTCAAATCAACTTGATTGAAGCGCCGAGAGAGCAGAGACCCACTTGTGACTCTGGAACCCAGAGAGTCGGTCGAAGAGATGACGAAAAATGGAAGCAGATCTGCGGCAAAAGCAGGAAAAGGCCAAGATGAAGGAACTGTTTTTCGCAAGAAATGAAAGCTTTGAATTCCTTGAAGGGATAGACAGTTTACGTGACAATGACCAGGAGGCCAACAGCCAAGAACGCCAGAAGAGGCTTCAGACAATGACGGCGGATGCTGAGATGTGGAGTTTGCAACATGCCAACTGAAGAGAATACGATGGGGCCTGCGCATACAAAAACAACCTTAAGATAAACACACTTGGAAACGGATCGCATATAGATGTTGCCACTATCACGATCTTGTGCTTGTTCGAGTTTGCTTTTTGTTGAATTCGTTGTTTCTGGTGTTTCTGGTTCTAATATGATGATAGTTAGGTTAACATTGACACAAGTAGAATGGTTGAGTTGTCCCCGTGGTTGTTTGACATCCTAGTCTGCAGCAAGGAGGTATGAACTTGGTACACCCATGTAGATAATGGGCTAAGGATGGCCAAGGGAAATCGCAGGAAACCTTTACACCCCATAATGGGAAATCGTATGGCCATGCAAAATCCCTCATCTAGTTCGATGATTTTCCCAGTCCAAGCCTCCATGTCCGGGCATTTCCCAGCCAGCCATCCTTGATGGGAGTGTATTACTATAAGAAAAATCTGTTCCCTTAATCTCTAAAGAGAGGAGATATACCTTCTGTTGGTTATCACGTCATCAGTGAAACGCCAATCGAACTCTTGCTGGTTGATGGTTGCATGGAAATTCGCGGAGGATCACTTCCAAAATATGCAGAAGAGCTTAAATGAATGAGTGAAGACATGTACAAGTAGTTTTGGAAGATTGTTTACACATTTTACATGAATGTCAACCGGATTCCTTGGATAAATAAACCCCTAACGGTAGTTTTCTATTGGGGGGTATCATTTACGGGTCCTTAAACTGCACAGTGGACTTGGGCATCGCATAAAATTGATCACAAAAACCATCATTTTAGATCATTTTAGTTGGTTCCAGCAGCCATTTCCCATCCATTTCCCACCATTTTACCACCATTTTACCGCCATTTTCCATCCATTTCCCAGCATTATTTCGGGGTTTCCCCCAGCCAGTTCCGCAGGGCCTTTTTTTTTTGCTCCGCAGGCGCTGGCTCTCTTCTTGGTGATCCTGCACTTGCGTGGAGTGCTGACAGGCACGTCTTTGGATCCAAGTGTAGAAAGATGAACAGGAATCCTCACTGGAGCTGATATATATATATATATTATGTATATATAATATAATGTGTATATAATTATATATATACACATTCATACGCATACATATAGTTGTTAACCGCACTGAATAGCGAGTGTTTTTGCAACTTCTGCGAACCAGGTTGACGCTGCGCAAGACTCTGTACAGTTGGGCAAAGTACTCGCATGTTCTTGGATTCATAGTTGCTTATTTGATCTTATTTGGTTTAGGTGGCTCTACATTCTTTATAAGTATTACTACAATGTTATATATGTATAATATATATATATTATATATTATCCATCCTATTTGTGATATTAATCCATTTGTCTCCGCGGCATCAGCCCTTGGTTGCGGTGTGTTTTGTTTGAATGTAATCTATCAGGGGACAATGCCAATAACATAGCCCATTCTTTTTGAAAACCTCATTGACTCATTGACCCAACAATTACTCTTGGTGCTTAGCAGGGAATGGGGGAATGATCCATAATAACTATCAATAATCATCCCATTCCCCCATTCCCTACTAAGCACCAGGAAGTAATTGTTGGGTCTATCCAATGTGAAATTTTCTGAGTGATTTGGTGTTGTTGTTATGTAATCTATCACGGGACAATGCCAATAACATAGCCCATGATTTTTTACAACCTCATTGACTTGAGGTCTATGTTGGTTTAGATGAGAGTATCTCTCGGCGAGCTTCCCAATATTGACGTTGTCTTCATCTTGCCAGTGTTTCTCCGCATACATAAACGGGTCCACAAATGGGCTATATCCAGAAAAAAGAAACATGCTATACTATACCCAGATACAATATCAGTTATCAGATACTTATTTGTTCATCTAATATACAATATACTATATAGGTGTGTACTGTGTAACTATAGATAGATTCCAAGATACTTCGACGATCACAAGCAGGTTACAACTGGTTACAACTGGTTACAACCAATGGCCCCTCCGATGTCCCGTGAGGCACAGCCAATGCCACCTGGGTCTTCCTGGGAACTGTGATTGTGGGGGATCTCAGTGGAAGTTGAAATCCTCACTAAACCTGTTCTGGTTGGTGGTTTGGAACATGAATTTTATGACTTTCCCATCATATTGGGAATGTCATCATCCCAACTGACGAAGTCATATTTTTCAGAGGGGTAGGTATACCAAGGTTTGCGGCTCGAGACGCCCCCCGCATTTGTGTCTGTGCGTCCACCGCTGACCTTAGTGGGCTTGATACAATTCAGCCCACGGGTGCTTTTTGCCATTGGTATCCTGCCTCCTTGTTCACTGTCTTTTAATAGACTGACCTCGTTTGGCCTGGTACCGCAATACACCTTCCTCTTTGTGCTGTAACTGTAACCATTTTTTCCGGTCATTGACGTTGTCTGCCCGGTTGTTGGTACACCTACATCACAGGCCTACACAGGAGTCCCAGCTCCTTAACAACCTGGGTTCTTGCCTCTGGTGATCGCACTACATCTTTCACAACTGGTTGGCAACAATTGTGTTTGGGCATTTTTCACTGGTTCTGCGCTGGCCATACAGCGGCCCAATAAGAATTTTGATTAGGGGTGAGCTCCCTACAATCTCTGCCTGGCTCACAGTGTTTGTGGATGATTTCGGTCTTGCATATTTTTGCGACTTTTTACATCCTGTTCACCTTGCTGGCTGACTACGTGCAATCACATCCTTTGATTTTGGCTGATTCTTTGAATTTTGGTGACCACGGCAACAGCAACCCGTCGAAGAGCGGAGAGGCGTGGCCGGGCCAAAGCAAGGCTGCTCTGGCACTTACATCGGAAAGGTATCCAACCTCTGCCACCTTGGAGGATATCCAAGCTGCTGCAGAGGCTCCAACAGCATCACTCAAGCGACCCTGTACACATTGCCCGCATCAGAGAAGAGATGGCGACCAATGCAATGAGTCCATGGAGGTGCCATACTTGCAAGAAAGTATGCAGTGCTGCACATCAGTTTTGTGGAATCTGTGGGGTTTCCTGGCACTTGTGTTCAGATCCAACGTTCCAGCCGCCACAGAAGCCTTCCAAGAGTCAGAGATCAGTTCAATGGACCTATGCCACAGATTGGTCTGCCCAAGACTGGGAAGATCAACAATGGACACAAGTCCAAGCAGACAGCAGTCAGTGGACAACGTCACCAAAACGGAGACCTTCCTCTCGGAGAAAGACATCCAGAAAAGGAAAACCCAGGGAAACAGACCAAGCCAAAGGTCCCAAGGGCAAAGGAAAGAATCCCAATGCCGATGCCGACAAGTTCGGCCCACCTGCATTGACACCAAGCCCGACAGACCCGCCTTGGCTGTCTGCAATGCAATCCATTGCAGCAACAATGCCACCTCCTACGCAGCCAGCAGTGGAGGACAAACAGCTCAAGACCATTTTGGCGGCGCTCAAAAAGCACAGCGATGCCTTGCCTGCAGAGCTCCAAACAATGGTCAACGAGGCAGCCATCAAAGAGGGCCAACAGCAGACGAAACAGCTCCATGCAGTAGTGGCAGCCCATGGCAGAGCCCGCAAGGAACTCCAGCAAGCGCAATTGGCCAGGTTCAACCTACACAATGCATGGCGTGGATTCCTCAGCCAGGCAGTCACCCAATGGCAGGGGTACAGTGCTCAATTCCTCGACCAGGAAAAGCAGATGAACCAACGTGTGACTACAGCCATGGAGGCCCTCGAACAAGCCAAGGAGAGTCTGGCGAAGGCCAAATCCTCGGCTGGTATCGAAACAAAGGAGGACGTCATGGCTGTCAGCGACGAAGAAGCTCACGACATCGCTGGCCCAACAGCAGATCGGATCACGGAGGGGCTCACAAACCTTCAGTCAAGTCTGGAGGCACTACAAACATCTGCTGCACAAATGGTCGAAGACGAACAGAAGGCATTGAAGCGACCAAGGCTCGACGATGGCAATGGCGATTCTCATCCAAAGCCATCAGAATCGCATGGTGCGCATGCAGGTTTTGGGTAGGCCGAGTAAATAATGATCAGGTGTCTATTGCTCTAAGGCCCACCACTCATGCAGCCGATGTCACGCAGCTCATGCCCAAATGGATGCACACGGTTCAATTGGACCCCAATTTTGTTTCAGAATGGCAAGCACAGGACAATGCGTTTCACCTTGCACAGCAGTTCTGCATTTTGCAGCCTGGTCACGCTTGGCAACACCAGACATTTAATTGTCAAGCAAACAGTTCTCACAGCAGCCTGGCCTACGATGCCCACCAAATAGTCATAGCCAATTGCAGTGGTGACAATCAGATAGTGTCAAGAAAGTCCAAAGGTAGGATGGTCACTTTTTCTGATGTTCTCTCCATTCGAATCGGCAATGAAGAGCAAACCGCAATGCATGACTTCCAGGTCCATGTAGAAGCCATGGAATCAAGTGCAAAGCCTTGGTCATTGCATGTTGATGGTCAGTCGAAAGATGCAGTGTTAGGTTCATCAATGGCCAACCAACCTCAACGCCACAAAGGCCTGCATACGAACAAATATGCCTGGGTCACTCCTGTTGACCAATTTCCTCATGCCATGCACCGGAAGCAACCGTTTGTACAGCAGACATCCGATCCGTGCCGAGATTCTATGAAGGCCGAAGAGTCTTCCAGTTTTGACTCCGCTAGGGACCACACATTGATGTCGCAATGTACTCTGAGGACAAGCAATTTTGAAACATGGCATGCAAGGATTCGGCAGTTTTGGCCTGATACCACAGTGCGCCAGATGGGTACTCCGCCATGGTGGTGTCATTCAGGTGAATCCAGTAGACATCCAACCAGCGGCAATGTACAGCTCGCATCTGCCAATCACCAACCTGCGACCAGCGCACTCCATACAGGTCATGCATCCGAGAAGCTTTGTACAGGTAAACACAGTTTTGTTGCGATGGCCCCGCCTGAGATTCAGTGGAACCCCTTGAAGTGGCCCCACAGTTTTGTTACTGATGTTGCCTCTGATCCCCCAACAACCAAAGGGATCGTGCCAAAACAGGATCACACTGCACACCATACTGTGCGCAAGACACACTCACATGCACCTGCTTTAGCCCCACACGATAAGACTTTTGCAGTTTGTCATGGTGTTGATGTCTCCGATCATTCATGCTTTTTGGCTGTGTTGGATAAAATCCAATTGTACATGGACAGGTTCCCATCCAATGCCCAAAAGGTGCAACAAGCGGCCCCAGATGGTGATCATGATGATGCACACATTTCTCCATCTGATACCCCATGCATGCCACATCAATTGCCGGCACACCAGACTTTGCAGCAACAGTGGATCAGGTACGAAGATACCGGCCATCAATTCACCAGTCAGGTTTGCGATGACATTCCTGCCTGCCTGCCAAGCCATTGCGTTCTTAATTCAGATAGTCCTGCACAGTTGCGTGTACAGACCCGTCATGCCAGGCCGCCAAGTGATGACCTTAACAAAACTGTCATGATGCCACAGTCCCAGCCTCATGAATTGGTCAAGCACAGTTTGCGTTCACCTGCCCGACAGCTGCCACCACGCTCCCGGAAGGTCAACAAAGACCGCAGGAGAAGTGATCTCCCTACATTTCACTGCCGATTGGAGCATGAGAGCCCCATTGCAGCATTTGCGGCTAGGCTTCCTGAGGATGACACGCAAGGAAATCATGAGCAGCATGACCAACAGCCAAATGTTCCCGTCCAACCTGCATTTGTGGATGACCTGTCCACTCGTCTTGCTCGCATGGGTTACAATGTTTGGGATGCTGACTTTGATATCCCCGTCAGAACCTGGTACATAGACCATGCCACCATCCGTCGATGGACTGCGCCACGGAATCTGCAACTGGTAGGTCCGCCACGTGGATGGGAGGCACAATTCAGCTCTTTGTGGGTGGTCCAGATAAACCCTGATGAATGGTTTGATGTCACTGTCATTTATCCCGACCCCCCAAGGACAGCAAGAAACAGTTTCATCATAATGGATCTGGTTGTCACACAATCCCTTCAAATGGACAGGTTCCCTGGATTAATCACGGTTTTTCCCACACACCATGATGCATTTGAGATGTTTTCGGTTGCTGCATCCTTTGAACCTAGAGTCAGTGGGTTTGAAATTGCTCAAGCTGCCGATGCTGCGGATATGTGCAGATACCAAGAGTGCACTGTCACCTTCGGCTGGCAGGAAATTCCGTTTACACTCCGTCCTCAACATGTGATGGCTCATGGGGACGGTTTCCAACTTTCTGTTAGCCACCAATTGGTCCGGTTAATGGGGTCGTCCACTTCACAGGCAGGGTCCACCGCTGAGAGTTCCACTGCCCGTGATGTCCAACCAAGGGTATCTGACCAACGCACGCCAGAGCAGCTGCATGACGCCAACCCTTCGCAGAGGTTCATGACACCGTTGCATGTTTTCCAGCTTGAAGGCCACGAAGTTGTCCTCCAATTGGTCAATGCACAGTTAGCGCAACCGACCAATGCAATGGCCCAAGCATTGCACGTACCATTCAACTGCATTGAAGCCTTGCACATCATGCCGATTGCACCGGATGGATTCCCAGAATTAGCCATCCCAGCCATTGTTCAAAGAGTCGGTGACATTGACCTCCATTCGACAGACAGGTTGATATTGATTGATACCATTTATCATCATCATCCGAGCCCGTCAGGTTTGTTGAATCGCCCAACTGTGGTCAGGGCCGTTCAGAGGGTCTCCTGTCAAGTCACCCGCCAACAAATCCTATTCAAAGCTGCGGTTTATCACTACTGTCAGTATTTGCAAGAAGGGTGTGCAGTCAGCCTTGATGGCTATTTATGGCCCATCAATCATGTGGATCCTCGCCCTGTGACGCACGGATCCTATGCCACTGTTGATGTTCCCCCACCCTATGGCACCCAGCTTGATACCCAAATGGTGGCTAACCAGCTCCACGACAATGGAACCATGAACACCATGATGAATTGGTTGACCGAGCCTCATGATTTGCCTGATGATGCCATGCAACTTATGCAAGTTGGGGTCACCAA